TCTGGTTCGCTCATTGTTCTGGCAAGCCTGGCGGGTCACTCTTTGGCAACTGCTTCGGAGCCCTCGTGGTCAGCCTTCCCCACGTCCAGGATGGCCGAGTTACGGCCTTCAGGACCCTTTTCAGCTCCGATGGACTAGAGCTTTGCTGTCCCGACAGTAGTCACCAGTGCGGAATTACGGTCAGGGCTGAGATCATTAAAACGGGTTTTCATCCATCTGTGTTTCCGGTGGGACACTGAACACCATGGGGGGTGCAGGGTCATCCGTTGTTGTAGGGAACTGTCCCTAGCGTCACAGGACATCTGGCATTGTCACCTCAGTCATTCTCACAACCAAGAAATGTTTTCACTCACTTTGAAAACACCTCTTACATTTTAAATTAAACCATATTATTTTTCAGCTTTATCAACTTAAAAGCAGCTCATTTCTTTTCAGAGTGTGCATGTAGATAACAAATATGTTTTAATGTCGCAATTCCGATTTCATCAGTGGTAGTTGTCTTGAACGGCATGTTAAGAATTCTGAGACAAAGACCGCCCTCAGTAGGAAGGAGTCTTGTGACCGAGTCGTCATATCTGCCGTAGGTGGAGGGGGTCGCCTGTCACGTGCTTCATCTCTGACGTAGCTCGGGGGATCTGACCCACTGGGCACCAGCGCCCCACGCCGGGGGATTTGGAAGTATATGGGGAAGTTTGGGGCTGTCGCAGCGATGGGATGCGTGTTTTTTGTAGTTAGCATTTAGGGTTTGGGAACCGAGATGCCGAATGAACCGCAGTGCCCCGATAGCCCCATATGGCGGGCAGACAGCCCGTTCAGAAGCTCGCTGTCCCTGGTTTAGAAATATCATCTAGCTTGGAGAAGAGTCCAGTTATGGAACCTGGTTCCGAGCGGATGGTCTCTGGGACTTAAACAGAGACCAGATGTCTGCTAGTCAGATCGTTTTATAGGTGTCTTTGCATTGAGTGCGTTATTGTACCATGTGATGTCCAGGGTCTCTTCCAGCTCCGTGATTTCATGAGTGAAAGTCAACAGTCAGCGGGCCATGGCCCCCGGGCCAAATCTGGCCTGTGTTAGTCAATAAAGTTTTATTGGTACACAGCTTTGCTCTTCCTTTATGTACTGTTGGCGACTTTAAGGCTACAGTGACAGGTAAGTAGTTGCCCTGGAGACCTTCTGGTCTGCCCAGCCTGCCTACTTCTGGCCCCTTACAGAAAAGGTAGACAGATACCTGGTTTCAGTAACGCTTTTTGAATGGAACCAGAGTGTGAACTTACGTTCCTAGGTGTGGGATTCTTGTATCCTTAGAAGTTTTCTGCCTGTAGTGATTCTAAGATCCTTTTCTATGGCATTTTAGCACTGAGGACTAACCTGTTCATGGATCAGCAGTAAAACCTAGAGCTGGAGGATTCTCAGACGGATTCTGCAAATATCACAAAGTAAATACTGCAGAGTCTACATTAATTTTTGAGTGGCGATGATTTTCCTAGAGTTCGAGTATGTAAGGTAGAACGACTTTGCATTTTTAGACTCTAGCGTTGCAGATCGCGTGCTGCCCCGTTGCGCAGTCCTGCAGTTGGTAAGCACGGGCGATCTGCAGTAGCATTTGCTGTTCAGTGAGACACGCGGACGGTTATTGCCTCTCAGAAGCCTGCGTCAGAGTGTTGGTAAGTGGATCATTAGTGCTTGTCGCATAGTCCCCGGCACACTCGCCTGCAGTCTCGTCCTTTGCCCGCTCTGTCATTTCCTCTCTTGGATGATGACGTGTCCTCATTTCACAAGCGCCCCGTGCATTAAAATACCCATCCGTCTGTCTTTTGTTTTTAACCTCTCCCTCAGATGAAATCTCCATTTCTCTCATTATCAATAGCTAATCCATAATTATTTGAGTTAATTGAGAGTAAGGTGTGGGAAAACTGATAGACCTCATGCTCACATACTTTATGTCAATTATGTTTTAAAGTGAAACTTGTAACACTACAAAAACCTGTTAACCCAGAGGCTTAGCAGGTGGTTGCATGTAGACGGGCTGCTCACTTACTTCATTGCTTCAGACTTCCTCAGTTTGGACTCCCAGGTTCTAAGGGAATGCGTTTCTTCCCCAGAGGAGATGACAAGAAAGAAGAATGGGAGGAGACGGGACCTCTTCCAGCTTGACAGACAGGTGTCGCTTGTCCGTCTCCTGGCCCTTCCTCTGTCATCGCGTTACATGCTGTTTGTTTGTTTGTTTGCTTGTTTACATATTCTTCTTATGAAGTACACCTCACCTTAGCTGCAGCTTCCTGTCTCCCGGCTCGCATTGGGTAAACACTCCTATTTATATGGCGTCGAGGTGTGTATCCTTCCATGCGACTTAAGGTTTTACGCTTTGCTTTTCAGAACAAATAAATTCTATTGACACCAGTTTTTCCCACCAAGGAATAAAAGTCACACTCGCTGTGACTCCCTGGTTGAAAATGGCCCTCGCGATACTGGTCCCTGTCGATCGCGTGTCCTGTGCCAGCCACTGCAGTGGGTGTGATCGCTCCTCCTGGCAGTGGTGGCCGTCGTGCAAGGAAGATGCTTGTAGTTCCCCTTCGTAGGTGAGGAGGCGGAAGCCTGGAGAGATTAAATAATTTGTCAGCTTTGACGCTGCTGGGGCGTAGCTGATTTGAAAGCCCTCCTGCTTTCGATTATACACGGATTTCCTCTGCATTTCAGAAGCGCCGTAAATGTTTTCACTGCGCATTCCTAAGGTGCTGTTTAGAGAGTGTGAGCCGCGTGTCGATTCCGCAGTTTATTTTTGTTTTTTGTATACCCGCGCACTCTGAGAAGCGTTTTATGATCCACTTGTTCCACATTAGACTTTTATGAGATGCAGTCGTTTTGTTATTGATCAGTGTTTTTTCCAAGGACGGGACCATAATTAGTGGAGCATCTAAAGCAGAGGATGCTAATGATATTTGCTGCGGACACAAAACCAGTAACAGAGAGGTGGCCGCTAACGTAGGAGCCGGTCACGTGAGAGCTCCGTTCCTGTGGAATGTCAGCCACGAACTTTCCTCATATTCCAGCAGGCTGCGGGGCAGGGCTGGAGTCCAAGCTTTGATTAAAATCACCCAGCCTCCCCGTTTTTTCTCTTTACAACCGCCACTTATTGCCAGCTGAAAGGATGATGGAGAGACCGATGAATGCATTTCCATCTGCTGCAAAAAAAATTTTTAGACGGTTTCATTCTTTTTTAAACCTGGATAAAAAGGCTGCTTTGAAGGGAAGAGTAAATTGCTGGCTACCAAATAAGTGGTCATTAGAGTCTGGCTCAGGAAGATGTAAGATGTTCAGACGATTCTGACGGCGGTAGCTCCAGTGAACAGCTGAGTCCCAAGCGGTTTCTCCCCGGGGTGGCGGTGGGGAGGTGGCATAAGAATTCAAGCATTCTTGGGAGTCTTCCTTTTCATCCCCAATTTGTTGGTTTTAAATGGAGGTGTCACCTTCCTTGAGACTGCATAGGTTTTCTTCGGCTGTCAAGGTCAAATGCGAACCACACTTTGAGAACGCTCTGCAGTAGATGCTCTTACACATTGGAACGTGAGAGAGCGAAGCTGTTTCAAATACCCTGTGTCTCTGATTCCAGCCCCCCCACCCCATCCCTGCCCAAGGCTGGAGAGGGGGCGTGCTGAGTTTCTGTTCTGGTTGATGGTTCTTTATTCTTTTGGACTTTATTATTGTTTTTTAATGGTTGACTCTCAAGATCTCTTCAGCAGCAGGATATAACAGGAAAATGTCATTAGTCCCTTAATACTGTCACCTAATTATTGGTAATAAGATCTCTGGGCTCAAGCGAGCAGATTAGTGATCACCTTTATGCTTTTAGTACTTTTTAATGATTTCACTTATGGTCGTTTGCTGTTGGATCCAGATCACTCACTGTGTTTGCTGATTGTTCTGTGATGGGCATCAGGCTTATCCACTCCTGTCAGGGACTGGGGGACTGAAATACGATTTCTTTATTTAACTGCTGCTTAAGGCGCTTGTTGACACTCCCGTGGCTGCAGTGCTGTGAAACAGTTTTAGAAAGAGGACAATAATTATACGGCTAGCTAACAATGATTAGATATTTACCGTGTCCCAATGACTGTGCTAAGTGCTCTACATCCGTTATATCTAATTTCATCCTCGCTGCAATCCTTTTAAAGGCCATTATTATGCCAGCTTCACAGATACAGACACTGAGGTATTTGGAGGCGAAATAGCTTGCCCAGATTAACGGCAGTGGGAGCTGGGAGCTGGGATCTGAATCCGGGCGACCTGACTTTCGGGCTGTACGCACGTAGCCTCACCTGCTCTGCCTCACCTGAAGCTGGCGCCGTCTGTTTTCTGCATAATACAGCGCTGGTGAAGGCTTCGTCATGGAAACTCCCCATTTCGTTTCCCGTTAGAGTCTGTGCACACATGCAGGATTTTCCGTTTCCGTTCTAACAAAACTTTTCATCTTTAGCTTTAGTGGCTACAGAGTGGTTTCTCGCAAAGCATTTTCAGCTTTTAGATTTTTATTCCGGTGAGAGGATCGTGTCGACTTGCTGACTCTTTGGCATACGTCCTTTAAAGCTGGGGTAGTCGAACCTTCGTCCTGGTAGAAATGAACAGTTCAAGCAGTTCTTCTTTATTTTGGGTTGTTATCATCATTTTCGGGGCAGATTGTCATTTGGACTTTATTTTAGACACGTACGGAAGTTAACTTTTATTCTGTAAAATGTACTGATTGGGAACTTCTGGAAGCGTCCTGTGTAGAAGAGAAAAATATCTCAGAATTCAAAATTGGCCATGAGAATTTAAAAAAGGGAGTGAGGGCGTTGATAATCCATATGTGAGTTGTCGAATTAGAAGTTTTTCACATTTTTCGACCTTAGAGTTAATCTTTATAACACTATTACTGAGAAATACTTCACTTAGTGAACTTTTACGGAACGCTTTAATTTTTGGAGCACAATTTCTAAATTCATGAAAAAATCTTCATACACAATATGTTATTTTATTGTGTTTCAGGATTCTACACTGATCCCTAATTTTGACTAAATTGGATTAAGTGAAGTGAGTTACACGTCTTTGAGGTGAGATACTTAATAGCCTTCCTTTTAGTTCTGGAAAGTTTGGGGCGGGGGGGAGTGGGCAGCCATCTAACAGAGCAGCAGCCGGGTTTTCTTTGTCCCGTACGAAGTGTTGACCTTCGCGTTTTGCCGTAGAAGGACATTCGCTTTGGATTGTTCTTAATCTTTCTTCTGAAAACCTAAGCACAGCGTTAGAACAGTAATGCGCTTGAGGTACTACATACGATGCCATTTTATATAGAAGATTTTTAGTCCCGAATAAGATGAAGGAACATACAGGAAACCAAGGAGGCGAGTATGACGGAATTCTGTGTAATGGTTGTGGTACTTGGTGAGAATGGTGTGGTTCGGCAGCCTGAACCAAAGAGCTGCTTATTCCTGAATGCGCTCCAGGGTCACGGGAGGAGGAAAGACAAAGGGATTTGCTCATCCCGTGCCAGGCACTGTGTTAGGTGCTTGCACGTTAACTCAAATCCTAGGCTGAAACGTTTGTCTTGTCTTGTTCTTAAAGATGAAGCAACCGAAATGTAAACAGATGACTTGTCTGTGGCTAGAACAAATACATGCCTAGCAAGGATTCGAACCCAGGAATATCTGACTCCAAGGCCTGACTTCATTCTGTCATGTCACGTGCATTCTGTCTCCTTCCGGACTGTCTTGTGATCCCGTATTTTCCATTCCGCTGCTTTTCTCTGCGTGGTCGCCCTCAGACGTGTTTCTTAGCGAAGTCTAAACGGAGGCGATGTCTTTGCCTTTCTCTGAACAGCAGGATCGACCCGTTCTCGAAATGGACTGTTGTTTCCATGAGATATTAGAATTCTGGGACTTGATCTTTTAACCTCTGAAGTCACAAAATGTTTCAATGGACCCATCTGCATTTGTCCTTTTTTCTTTCCTTCTGAGCATTTCTTCATGCATATCAGCTGTAAGGTGAATTGTTTTTTAATTTATTCCCCCCCACCCCCGCCATGGGGCTTTATGTGGGTCTTTACTCTGGTTCCCCACCTTGCGTAGGGCCCGTTACCCCGTTTCCTATGGCTTCCCTTCCCCCCACATCAAGTTCATGCCAGCAGGACACGCAGAGGCTCCTGGGACACTTGGCGCCTTCAGAACCAAGTCACCTCTTTCGATTGGTGCTTTCTCATCGTCTCCCTCGCTTTATCGCTAGCTCTGCCATCTATTTTAAAAAGGAACTTGAAAATATTTAGTCCAGTGTTTTTAGGTGACCTCTGTCTAGCCATCACGTCTGCATCGCCGGAGACAGAAGTCCACGTTGTCACTGCGCTCGCTTGGCGGGTTTTGCAGTGACCCTGGGAAGCGGGCGGTGGACTTTTCCATGTACTTCTTTCTCACGTGCCCGTTGCCAGTAACTGGCAAAACGCTTTCACTGAGAGTCGTAAGAAATAAACCGCTTGAAGGGTGATGACAGGGTTTAGGAAGAAAGCTCACTGGAAATTGATGGACTGTTTTATCCACTCGGAGGCGCGGAGGAGACACTGAGCAGGTGGCGGACGTCTCCTCCGTCACTCACCTAAAATGTAGTTACAGCGTCCATCGGTTTACGTATCGGGGCAAATGGAAACCTTTTAAGTCTTCTCTACAAATATTGGTAAAAAGCAGTAGCCCTCACATTGAGGAGGTGACCTCGACTTGTCCCATTGGCCAGAAACACAGTTCAGGTGACAATACAAAGTGGGTGAAAACCAGGGACTTGGATGTACTATGTTTTACTGACACGTGGCTGAAACTTTAGAATGAAAACTATACGGTCTTTGTTTGTGTTTGTATATATGTGCGTGTCTATGCGTGTCTTAGGTATCGATGACATTTTTCTCTCTCTGCAAGATTATTACCAAATTAATTTATAAAATCCTTAAAGGGGTTCTATTCAAATGCCTTAGAGAGTAACACGTGCTTATATCAGTGAAGTGTTCCTAGAACGCTCAGAAACACAGACACTGACCTAAACTTTTTTTAAGCTTATGTGATCTGGGATAAGCTTTGGTAAATAAAGCTAGTTCGAAGATTGTTGGTAAAGTAAAAATTTATGTCTTTAGAGTTGTCACCATAAAATATAATGCTATCTACGTTTACTAGTCAAATAAGTTTAAGTTACCTCTGCTAGATGTTTAAGATTATACAAATATAAATCCAACCTAAGAACAAAATGTACAATAAAAATAAATTGCTCGATGTATGTCAAGCACAATAGTAAAAAAAAAGAAAAAGAAAAAGAAAAAAGGGAAGAAATCATGTTTAACTTTTTAGATTCTTTGCTTTTGCAGTGTGTTTCATACTTGCCTGATTTGTTCATGAGAAAATAACTTAAAATCATGGTTAGCTTTGTTTAACGTCTCATGACGTTTTCATGAACAATTCAGGTGTAATTATTAAGAGCAAGTGAATTAATGTGTGTAGGGTAAAAGTTTATAAATAAACTTTTCAATAATAATTATGTTTTTATAATATGTCTACTTAAAAATAGTTTCCAAAATCTTTTCGGTAACTTGAAACCTTAAAGTTGTACTAGATGAAGTGAAATGATGGCTATTCATTGAATATCTAGTTCATTTCCAAAATAAGAGGAAATACTGAAACATTAATTGCTTAACATAATAAACTTATCAATTTTTGATATCTCTGGACCAAAGAAACCTGGGTGTGTTAGCAAACGTGTCCTTTGCCGCACTGAAAACCTGTAGTAAAAGGAAGCATGTTCTTCTAGAAATTGTGAAATGGCGTATCCATACACATTTGCGAATCTACTACAGGATGGTGGTACGTGGCAGACAGTTCACAGTTGATTCCTAGTTTTCACTGAAAATTAGGGATACTAAGGATTAAGGACAAAGAGGAAAAGTTTCTGTATACAAAGTATGTAAAGAAAATAGGATGTGTTCGTGATACAGAAAAGTATATGAGGTATGAAAGACGTGTTTTTGTTAAGAGAAGAAGAAAGTAATTCGTCCAGAAGTAGAATCACTGGCTGTTCCAGAAGACGGAGAGGAAAAAGACAAAAACTACATTTTTTTAAAGTTTAGACGGTTTGAGGAAAAGGAATTTTATGTGTAGTCAAGCTGCTAAGATTGAATAGACTTATTTATAAGTTTAAAAAAAAGATGAGCCTTTATATCAAAAGTATACTGATAAGAAAGTAGAATGACCAAGTTTTTTTGGATCATTGGTCCACTCTTGGAAGAAATTGTAAAACATATATATATATTTTTATCTTTTAAGTCATCTGTCTAAGAGAACCAAGATTTTGTGTCTTATCAGAATGATTTCCTGGACTTCATATTGTCTTTATCAGGCTCTTTGATTCCTTAGGAAAACCATATCTCCTCAATGTTGGAAGAGCTAGAGGTTCATTAACAACTGTTGCCACTTTGGTTAGATAATTATTATTTCATAATCATCTGTGATCCTATTTAATCAAGTGCTTTTGACATTTGTGATAAACTTTCCCAAATCAAATTCTAAATAAAGTCTTTTGACTTAAACTAGCTTTGAATTTCCCAGAGGGTCCCTGGAAAATCTCAAAAGACTTGTTTTTCACCTTGTAAAAGAGAGATGTTAAACTAATTAGGTTCATCGGACATATTAAACCATTTGGGAAGCATTGTCAAATAAGAAGTGACAGAAACCTTCTTTAAACTTATATTTGTATGGATATATGTTATTAATATAAATATTTTAGAATTGCGCAAAGTTGTTGAAATTTGTCAATACCTTCGACGTTCACGATACATTCAGCATCACATTATCGGTCATAATTCCAGTTATGTTAAAATATTATGTCACTGAAATAAACAAATTTCCTTGTCAACTACATTATAATGACCCCCGATCAGATCTTTAACCATGGCCATTTTGAAGTTCTTTGTCATTCACAGACCATTGCTTTTTACTCCTGGTTCTTCTCTGAAAGAGTTTCTAATCGAATGCTCAGTGAGGGCGTCACGTGAACAGCCCGACCTGGGACCATGCCAGTGCCCTGAGTAATTCTCCAAGCTAATGAAGAAGTTGATGAATTCACAAAACTGCTCACCCAAGATCAAACAGAACAAGAGTTAATTACACGAGACTGCGTGAACTGATGAGGATGATTATAATTTTTTTAATGACTTTCTGTTTGAAACCTTACTGGTTCTTTAATGTCTTTTTTTGGTTTCTCTTTTCTCTTAAGCTATCTATAACTTAGAGCACTTGGATAAATTGTACCTTTGTGAACAAAGATGAAACAGTTTTCTCCCTACCTGGTCCCTCCAGAATTCAGAAACGCTTAAGGAGGATTTTAAGTTTCATGGCAATATAGTTATTTGCATAAGTTCAGTGAGAATCTGTTTTCCTTTCAATAGGACATAATCAGCACTGGTTCTGTTGCCCAGCCTTGACTGGAATGTCATGTTTGAGAATGACGTCTAAAGTCAGGTATGCCACACACTTCTAAGGAACTAAGGTGGTCTTTATTGGTCTTCATTAAGCTCATGCTTATAAAACTCTTTAAAAACAGCAGCAACGGGCCTGGTACCTGGCTTGCAGAGTTCCCAGCCTGTCCGGCGAGTAAGGAAGGTCACTCACCTCCTGGGACACTCGGGAACCGTAACGTGTTTTGGGAGCCTCAGAACGAGAGGAGTTCAGCCACGTCTGTCGTTCCTGGAGGCGAAGACGGGTGGCGAGTTTCCGGCTGGGCTTCCCAGCCTTGAGAGGCTTTTATGTAAAGTCAGATATAAGATTTCTCATTAAAAGATCCAGCAAAGCAAACTTAAGCAGTCTGTGTAGTTAATCACTATTCTTGCTGCGCTCATGTCAACGATCAGGCCAAATTTAACGAGACTGGACTTTTTTGCAGACGAATTAGTCTTACCATCATTATCTTTGATGGAAATGGGATAACTATGGAAAGAAAAATAATGTTTCAGTAGAAAACTATTGCACACCCGTGTGAGTCTTAAGTTCTAGTCCTGTTCATTGTCCTTAAGGTTTTTTATTTAATTTAATTA